CATATGTTTAAAACTTTGTGTATAGAAGCAGCTGATATTTTTGAAAATAAAGAAAATTTGAGTTGAAATGATCATGTAGATTCAAATCAGTCTATATAAATGTCTCAATTAAATTCTCGCTGGATTTGACACTCTTTTAAGCTTCACAATGCACAGATGCACATTGGAAACTTAACTTTGAGGCATGCAACTTAATCGACCTTGACCTTGGCCTAGTTAATCTGATTTGATGAACCTAATAGATGAATATCTTTGGCATGATTTAAGTTGTCTAAAAAAAAAAAAAAAAAAAAAAAAAGAGAGAAAGAAAGAAAATAATGACCAGTTGACGTTCGTAACCTTTCCAACTCGAGCTATTAAGCCCTAGGAGTGTCTCTACACTTAGTACCCTAAAGCCGTCTGGTTTGGGAGTTGTTGACCTAACGCTTGCTACAGGAGTTAGTTAGAAAGCTTAAAGGACTTAAACATTGCACGGTCATTCAAAAAATAAACTGGTAATAAATATGGTTCGTTGGAGTTCGTAGCCTTTCCAACTTGAGCTATTAAGCCCTATGGAGTGTCTCTACACTTAGCACCCTAAAGCCGTCTGGTTTGGGAGTTGTTGGCCTAACGCTTGCTACATAGGTTGGTTAGAAAGCTTAAGGGACTTCAGCATTGCACAACCATTCTATGTTTCGCTTATGAGTTACAATAAATTGTCAACAAGCAACAAAAGTTGTCTTGTAAATAAAATCATGCCTTAGGGACCTCATTTAAAGGGGAATTCAATGATTTGAAAACTTGTGCTTGGAAATTGGAAAAGAAAGTAAAAGCCGCATGTTGAGAATCCAATCCACTTTCACTGAAGTTAGAGTTGATTTCCATTTAAGAGATGACAATTGAGTTATTTATATGGACTATGATGTTGATACATGCATGTTGAAATGTGTTTAGTATCAATGCTTCATATATGCAAGGTAGTCTTCCCAATGACCCCATCTCCAGCTCTTTTTCTGTTTCAAGTTATTTTTGAGCTATGTATATATCTCATTTTACCATGGATGATATTTTTGTAGTAGCATGCCCATGGTTGTCTTTTCATTAAGTTTTTCATTGTAGTTTTGCTAAGGGACTAGCAAAATGTAAGTTTGGGGGTGTGATAAGCGCCGAATATTGTATATTCAAGCGCCCTAAATTGCATTAGTAAAGTCCATTGTATGTTAATTTATGTAGATTATCTTCATTTCTATGTTTTTATGTATTTTCAGGTCCATTTGCCAAAAAAGGAGCAAAATCAAGGCTTTGTGGAGTTTTGGCCATCAAAAGGCACAAGGCTGAATTTCTGGCAGCAGTAGATCCTGAACTTTGCTTGCCATTTTGACCTTGAAAACTTGATAACTGGACTTCCATCATAACATAACATATTTAGAGCTCTGAATCAGCTTTCCAAATCTTCAAGTGGTTCGTCATTCGGAGTTCGGAGTAGAGAGTTATGATCTTCTTATCATAGGTGCTCAGAACTGCCTGGCAGCAATGAATTTTTGCCTTGCTCTTCAATTTCGACCAACCAGACTTGAGAATTGGATCTCCACCAAAACATAAAGTTTTTAGATCTCTGAATTAGCTTTCCAAATCTTCAAACGGTTCATCATTCGGAGTTCAGAACACAAAGTTATGGACATTTTACCAAAGTAGGTCCGGGCGGAGCAAGGCAAGAATGGAGCATTCTGCTCCAATTTCGAGTGCTCGAGCCTTTATTTCGAGTGCTCGAAATTAGGGCAGAATTGCATCCGGAAATGGCCCATTTTCAGCCACTTGCATCTTGGGTTCCTCAATTCTAATTTCCCTCTTTAATGGTTGGTTGGAGATGCTGGTTGGTGGGGTTTTTAGAGGCTTATCTCTAGAAGATAAGGGAGGGAGGCCACACATATCAATAGGGCTTCATTTTTACAAGATAGAGGAGAGAGAAGAGAGCAAGAAAGGTGTGTTCTTGAAGCAAAGGAAGGAGCACGAAAATGGAGTCTTTCTTCAAGCTTCCTCCTTCCTCTAGTGCATCAATGGTTAACTAAACTCTATCTAGGGAGGTGATGAAGCCTCCCCTTGTTATTCATGTTCTAGATTAGGTTCTATTTTTGGGATTTTAATGTATAGATTTTGGTCTTTTCATAGTTTAGAGCATATTACTTCTTGTAATGAACTCTATTATGTTCAAATGATTGATGTAAATTATTTAGCTTGACTTGATGATTCTTACATTAATCTTATTGCTTGTATTCTCATGGTGACAATGGGGAGAAAACTATGAAATGTTTTCAAGGCATGTTGATAGAAAAATGGATAGTCCATTGCTTAGGAACTTCCTTTGATGGGTTATGCTAGTTTCCTACTTCATGTGCTTTGTCATTTGCTTGAATGCTTGATGGTCTTTAGCTTAAGATAATATATTTGACTCTACATCCTAGTTTAGGTAGTTCAATGTGTTAGCTTTTGAAGGATCATTCTTGTGTCAATTTAATGGATCTCTTAACAAATATATGGTAACTAAGTGTTGTCATGTATTTCTTGACCATTGCATATATTGTCCATCCCTAATTTAGACTTAATCTAGCATGTACTTAGGGTGTAGTGTGAATTCATCTCCTTAGTCTTCTCTACCTAGATCTCTCTTTCTAAATTTCTTACAATTTTATTGTTAATGTATCTTTGAATTCCTAGTTTAGTGACAAACAAACAAACCCTTATTACCCCTTATCATTCTAAAAGTATTCTAGACTCTTAGGTTGCCGTAAACCAGCGCAGTCCCCGTGGTTCGACTTACCCGACCAATAGCCCTATTTTACAATGATTCGTGCTATTGCGAAGGTTGATGTATAGTTGATCAACCGATCAACAACACTCCGCAAGTGCCTAGCGATGGCAACGGGGCGGAGTTGGGGTGGAGTTGGCTAAACCCTACTCCGCCCTGTTAAAAAATTTGTCACACCAACTTTGCTCCAACTCCGGGACAGGTTTATAATTGGTATATCATCCTCACCCCTACTTCGGTAGACAAAATACCGACTCCATCCGCATATTCCATTTAATTCCTGGAGTTGGGATAAAATACTATGATTTGGGATAGAATACTAAAAGCATCTTCAACCATTGTGTATATATATATATATATATTTTTGTGTAAATCTGATATGTCATGATGAATTTACACAAAAATTTTGGATTATTTAATTTTAGCTCCAACGGTTGTTTTATACCTTTTGTGTAGAAATATATCTCCCAATGATAATCAACCATGTGTCATGCCAGGACCCTACATAACTTTTACAAACCTACTTAATATATGGTGGATTTTTTAATGGAACGAGAAAGAGGGATAATAAATGAAATATGTTGATCTGGCAGTGTAAAAATATTGTGTAAAATACACAACCCTTTTACACATTGGTGATATGGCAATGTATCATAGGTGGCAGTGTAAATTTTATACAAAAGGGTATTTTAATAGACCGCTGGAGATGCTCTAAGATCTTGAATCCTTGATTGATTCTTGAAGATTGAATCACGTGCACAATTGTGAAATTTTAGTAAGTACTAGTTCTAATGATCAGTCAATCTTAACTTAAATATATACTTTATATATATATATAATCGGGGTAGGGGCAGGACGGGGGTGGGGTGGGGGCATCACTAAATCCACCCCCGCCCTAAACACGATTCGGGTTTTCAATTCTTTTACCACATCCGCCTCAAATCCATTTATGGAGCTACCAAATCCGCCCTATTAGGAGCGGAACGGGGCGAAAACCTAACGGGTTGGAGGAAATTGCCATCCCTGAAGTGCCTAGATCCCTTCAAAAGTCCAAAGTGTGATCGGAAATTTTTTTTCTTTGAATCTGAATTTGTTACAGAAGAAATAAAATATGCTTTCTTTGATCGTTATAGTTGCAATCTTCAATAGACTTGAACACGATCAGGATTTGAACACAACCCTAAATTCACTCGTGTGTATTAGTGTGTATGTTCTTAAAAATTTCACAAAAAAGCTCTTAATGAAAATTAGAATTTTAATACAAAAAACCAAACAATCCTAAGTGAGAAAATATGTTTATATAGAATTTTGAAACCCTAATTGTACTTGTAAAATAAGTCAATTTCGTGCATAAGTTTTTTTGGAGAAAGTCTTTACAGAATAGGAAGTAAAAACAGAGACACCAAAAACGGCTGAAGAACTTAATTGGTTCAAGTTGGCCGGTGTGCTATTTAAAAAACGAAGCTTTAACACTTGAACCCGCTCAGCTACTTTTGAACCGGTTCAAGTTAGCCAGACCTAAACTAAAGGCTTTTACACTTGGAAAAATTTCGACAACGCTTATTTTTAAAAACATGCAATGCAAGCAAGTATCCTTACATTCTCACTAAACTTCTTAAGGTGTTGTTCTTACCATTTTCGAACTATTGATCACGATCAATTCTTCAATTCCGCTTCTGATCTCAAACTTGAAATTTAAACTTAAAATTACGGACTTATTTTGACAACAAAATTTACCAATTACAAACAACAAAATTTACCAATTACAAATTTTATATCTCACACCATTCATTCAGATCACACCTTCCAGAAACAAACACACCTTACCCTTTTTACCCTAAATCGAATCGGTTTTGAAAATTTATCGGGCTCCCTTGGAATGAATTTCCAAAAACACACTTTCGTGTCAACGATCTCACTTTTACTTAACACTAACTTTCCGCAATTAATCCTTTCTCCAAGACCGTTCTATAATTTTAAAAGACTCAGGTCTCAGCCCTAATGTGCCATTAAGACACATTAATTAATACTATACAATTTTTTTTGTTTTATTAGCTATAAAAGTCGATTCTAGATAGTAGACAATCCCCTTCCTTATTTTTTTTCTGTGGTAGGAAGATTTGGCTAATCAATTATATATATATATGTCCACCATCCATTGGACTACTCTTCTGGCCTGGACTCTGGAGTAATGGCTAAATGAATTGACACTGTGTTGTTGGGTGAGATTGTGAAAAACAAAGTCTATTTTTTTCCTTTTTTAATGCCCTTTAGTAGGGTTAGAGGTCATAGTTCTATCTAGATTGGCCCCCACCAACGCGCCACTTTTGCCCTTTCTCTCTCCTCCTCTCAGACTGATCTTTTTGAAGAATCTGAATCCCTAACAAGCGACGTCGGTCCTTTCTTTACCACCACGAATCTGTTCTCGTTTCTCTCTGAATATCGAAACTATCTTCTCTTGCTGTTTCAGTATCGTATTAGTACACCTTTATTCTTTCTGATTGTTCCACTGATTAATTTTCCCGAGAAAGTAGGGATTTTTCTGACGTGGGTTGTTTTCCGTTTCTTCAGAAATCGATCTATTGAAGGAAAAGAATCGATTTTGGATTTTGGGTTTGTCAAATTCTGGGTTTTTGCAATTGGGTTTTGGTTGGTCATCAATTTCAGCTACAAAGAAACTTTATTCCTCAACTGGGTCGGCTTGGGGATCTTGAGAACTCACACATTTCTCAAGAGAACAACTGGTTTTGGCGTTTTAGTTTGTGAAAATCTGGGACTATCCGAGTGGGTTTTGATCTCTGAGTTAAAAACAAGTTGGTTTTCCTCTTGGAGGTCTGGATCATGGGGGTTTTAGGTGAATAATTGGTTCTTCTGGTTGGAGTTTGTGTTGAATCTAGAGAGAGAGAGAGTTAGAGAAAAGATGAAGAGAGGGAAAGATGATGAGAAGATTTTGGGACCTATGTTCCCGAGGCTTCATGTTAATGATACAGAGAAAGGAGGCCCAAGAGCACCACCAAGGAACAAGATGGCTCTTTATGAACAGCTTAGTGTACCTTGTCAGAGGTTCAATCCTGGGTTGTTGCCTCTTAACTCCACTAAAACTTCCAATTTGGTCCCTCCAGCATCATCGAGCCAGGTAAATAAATTGATAATCAAAGGGTTTGCTATTAAATTTATTTTCAATTTTAAATTTCTTTCATTTGAGCTTTACTTCACTAACTTCACTAATATCTATGTGTTCTTTCGATTTTTTAATAAATGAATAGTGTTAGACGCATTTTTTTTATCTTAAAGAACATTGTTGTTTTGTTTGTGACTTAGACCATATTTCTGTTTGAAATTTGATGTGCTAGTTATAATTGTTGTTTTCATAGGAGAATACAGTTCTGTCGTATTTGGTTGGGTTTTGAATATTTTGATGTTCCATATGATCAAAAGTTGTTTCTAGGACACTTGGTATAGCAATTATTTGTCTCATCATTTTGCTATTTATTGGCCATCCTAACCCGTGGCAGTAGAGGGGTGGCGGATGGCCATTGTTATCAATAATCCAAGGATAATAAACAATCCCTAACCTCTAAACCAAGGTCTCTCAGTGCCGACTCACAATGAATCCATACTCAGCTGTTGCTTCCTTAGAATAGAATGGCCGTGAACTAGAAGACTGGTTTGACTTTTGTTCATTGGTAGCAGCTTGGATGACAGTATGGACACTGTGCCCATTCAATTCTCAGTTGCCACCCGTCTTCAGAATATTTATGGTCGTTTTTAAGTTATTTCAACTTTTTTCTTCCCGCTGTTGTTATCTGATTCTTATGTTTTCATGTATGCATTTGATGGACAAGTTTTATCTTGTCATAAGTTCATAACCATGTTAATTTTTCTTGCACTGTTACTAAAACAGTTTATGATGGCAGGGAAGTGACCGTGAAAAGGGTATGTTTTTTTCACTTCACCTACATCCTTCTACAAATCCAGCTGAGAAGACACATGCTAACTTTACTGATTTGAACACACCAGCGGTACAACGTGAGCCTGAAAAGAAGCTAGATGAAGAGGATTTTAGGGTTCCCATCTTTCTTCACTCAGGGATGGGTCACAATCATAATAAACATAGCAGCAGCATTGATAAAGAGCCAAAACGAGCAAGCATTACAGGTTTCAAATTGAGACAACAAGGCAGAAACCAGAGTGATGAGAGCTCAAAAGACATTGTGGCAGCTAGGGAACAAGCAGTTAAATCTGCTTCAAATCTTTCAGCCAACAAAAAGACTGATGATCTATTGAAGCAAACTATCACACGTTCAATTCAGGAGTGTAAAAAACAACCTGAATATAATTTTACCAAAATACAGAAAACTGATGCTAGTTTACAGCAGTTGTACAGAGCCGGGTCACAGCCAGGCAACATTGCATGCAGTGACGGCAATTTGAATCAGCCTTTGAGGGGCACAGAGAATGGAACTTCTTCCATCTCAGGGAGAGATCTTTGTCCAGAAGAGCAGAGAAGCCCTTATAATAATATTAATGATGGTGAAAATCTTGAAGAGAGGACATATGGGCCATTACAGACAGAAAATGTGGACAGAAGTGATGATATTTCTGAGACTTCTATGGTGGATTCTGTATCTGGCTTTGATATATCTCCTGATGATGTTGTAGGAATAATTGGTCGAAAACATTTTTGGAAAGCCAGAAGGGCAATTGTCAAGTAAGTTTCTTTAGTTCCTTTTATTTGTTATTATATGAGTTGTTAATTTTTCATTGATTTTTTTTTTTTCATCTATTATTTTTATCAGATGTGTCTTTCATGTGATCTTTTGCTTTAAATTTAATCTCCTGTTAAAGGAGGAATCAATTTTATGATGTTGGGGAAGTCTTATGGGTAGCTGATCCAAGCTTATTTCCATGGAATCGTTTGTGCTAGTAAATCCTTTTTTGTGATAGGCCAACTAGCAAAGTGAAAGATTATAGTTAGGGGTATTACTAACTTTGATTAGTTTATGCTTTTTTAGAGATTTGGACCTTTTTTAGAGATTTGGTCCATGCTAATATAATTTTATAAAGTTGTAATGTTTCTTGGAGAAGAGTAGTGATCTTAAATGGAAGGTAATGTTGCCATTTAATGTTGTGGTATCTGGAAGCTGCAACAGATTTGCATATCTTGGGATTATTTCTTCTTTGTCTTCTAACAATTCAAAATTGGATTTGATTGTTGAAGGCAATATCAAGTATTAATATTAGGAGATGGATATATTTTGTCCAATGTGAGCAGATAAGGTGTAAATATGGCTTAAAGAGAGGGAAGATCTCATGGCACAGGCTCTGGTGGTTTCCTTCAAGTTGGTGTTTTAGTTTGTTCAGCGCCCTTGGAGGATTTTGATGGTGGATCATCTTATAGCAGGGGGATAGACCACTTCTAACTGATGTAATTTGTGCAAGGTGGTGGGTCATCCTTAGCTCATTGTCCAATTGTGTATGATCGTTGCTATATGTTTTAGTCTTTAGTTGCATATTGCTTGGTTTTAGCCACAACAGAAGGAAATTCGCTTCTTGCAACTGTCGCAGGCTTGGGGTGCATAGAGGAACAATGCAGTGTATGATCGTTGCTATATGTTTTAGTCTTTAGTTGCATATTGCTTGGTTTTAGCCACAACAGAAGGAAATTCGCTTCTTGCAACTGTCGCAGGCTTGGGGTGCATAGACGAACAATGCATGACGTTCTGGTTCTGGATATCTTATATTGCTGATCTAGGGTGTGGTGAATATTCAATAATCTATAGTTAGTGAATATGCAGTGACGGCAATTATTTCTTGTATAGTGTCTTCGCGCATTTGAAATTTTCTTGGGGTTGCAATTCCATTATTTTATGCATTTTTTATTCTTCCGTCTTAACTCCTATTTTCCCACCACGTAGGCATTCATTATTGTTCAGCTTGTACATTTCATAGCAATTAGTACAATTTTTGAGTCATTGTTTTTTAATCATGTAAAGAAGATATGTTGTATTTATGTCCTTGCTGTTGATTAGATGTGTGCATTTAGCTCCCTATGTCAGTATCTTATATTAGGAATGTTCTTTGAAATATTTATATTCACATCCTTGAGGATTCAGGTATTTTCTTTGTAAAGATCTTTGAAATGTGCCCAAGATATTGATTCTTGTTTCTGTGAGAGTCATTTTTACTGAAATCCTAATGGATTAAAAGCACCTAAGAATTAGGAAGAGGTTCGAAGCTTCTAAGACTTTCATTGGAGGGTTAGTTGTTAGGCTTAGAAATTTTTATTCCAGGGCTTGACCTTATCCTTGAATCTACTAAATTAGATATTGGTGTATGTTTTCTGTTCATCTTAGTATTTTTATTACAGGGCTTGACCTTATCCTTGAATCTACTAAATTAGATATTGGTGCATGTTTTCTGTTCATCTTAGTGATTTGCTCGGACACCGTATTAAAAAGTCCGAGCAGTTGTGTCGATTTCTTGAGTGTATTTAGTCGAAATTGTAAAATTTCTCACGTTTGTTCAACTATTTGTCTATTTCTCAATTTTGTGATGACAATTTCGTGCTTAGTTTGTTTTTATTAAATACCTTTTACCCTTTTCAGTCAACAAAGAGTGTTTGCGGTTCAAGTGTTTGAGTTGCATAGATTGATAAAGGTAAGGTGGTTTTGAGGTTAAATAATTCTTTATCATTCAATTGTGATGCACTTATATAATCTTCATATGATTTTATTTTTGAGCGGATTGAACTTGATTCTTGATATTTCAACAGGTCCAAAAATTGATTGCTGGATCACCACATCTTTTAGTTGAAGATGATGCCTTTTTGGGTAGACCTTTAAAGAGCTCTCCTGCAAAGAAACTTCCTTTGAATTATATTGTAAAACCGCCTCTGAATGTCGTCAAGCACAAAGATGAGGTAGAGAAGCCAAATCACAAGATGGAATGCTCTGCTGAGAATGCAGTTGGGAAAACATCTCTTTCTTCTGTTCAAAATGTTTGTCGGCCTTCAAATAACAGTTCAGTTTCAGGAAACATGCCACCAACACCTTTAACTACCAAAACTAAAATGGGTCCTTTGTCTTTCCATCAGCCTGTGGGGCATCAATGGCTGATCCCGGTGTTGTCTCCTTCGGAAGGTCTAATATACAAGCCATATCCTAGACCGGCATTCATGGGCCTGGCTTGTGGAGATTGTGGACCTCATGGATCAACTCCATTGATGGGTAACAACTTAAATCCATCATGCGGTGTTCCAGCTTCGCATCATCACTATCAAGGATTTGGGTTTCCCTCTGGTGGGCATAATTATTTCCCTCCCTATGGCATGTCAGTTATGAATCCAACTATTTCAGACTCAGCTGTCGAACAAATGAACCACTTTGCTGGTTCACATGGTCATTCTGGTCAGTTGTTGGGAGCGGAAGCCAACTTTAACGTGCAACATCAAAGCTCAAGTAATGTCCCGCATTATGACGAGTTACAAGGCAGTACAGCAAGTAGTCCCGGTGAGAGAGAACCAATTAGAGCAGGCCACACTATAGAAGAAAGAAATGTGCTCCCTTTCTTGCCTACGACCCCAGACATTCACCAACCTGAGGGAGCCTTTCAGCCTCGTGAAACTCATCAGCCGACACGAGTTATCAAAGTCGTGCCTCATAATGCTAGATCTGCGACAGAATCAGCAGCTCGGATTTTCCAGTCCATACAAGAAGAGAGAAAACAGCACTAGGTTCAGCACATGTTATGCGACAACTACAGACCGGTAAGATCATGAGCTCACCCCAAATTGGTTTATTGCTTGCTCATTCTCTTTGTACTTTTGTTATACTTTTGCAACTGGCTTCCTAGTTCCTCCTTATCATGGGTGCCATATATATATGTATGTACATATATACATATATTTCTCTCCGAAGAGTATATCAAAACATTGTTGTATCGGTGTTGTATCATTATACATTACATCAAATCAGGGTTGTGTCGCGGTCTCACAGTTTTTATATCAAATCAGTGTTGGCTCTTGGTTTGTGGCATTTGTGCAGTGGTTGTTCCTGGAGATGTTCTTTGAAGGGGGCTAGTCTTTCGAAAGTTCAAGTAAACGTGCGCACACAATATTAATTCTAACAAACTCGTACACAAAATTAATTCAGTCCTTTGGAGAGATCATACCATATGAGCTAATATTCATTTATTCATCGAGCTGTGAAAATGTAAATAATACCAAATCAAAAGCATCACTATACTGATATGATACATTCTATTTTATTGGATTCAACAGTACCAAGGTTTCTTGTATGTCCAACAAGCTAACAAATTTGTATTTATTGCTTCAAATTCCGGGAAAAACAAAAAGAAAAAAGAAAAAAAATAAATTTTTATTAAGCAGAACCATTAATAAGATTAACAGGTCATACTTTTCCCATCCTATCTTCAATAAGATTAACAGGTCTTACTTTTGATAAAAATGTTTTCATGTTTGTTCTGAATGTTTCAAGTTTTATTTTTGTAACTGAATATGTTATTATGAGTTTTCTATTTTTGATTTTTAGTTCACCAATAATTTTTAGATAAACTTATTTTCCGTACTTATATTCTTTTTAAGTTTTAAATTTTAATGAATGATTTATTATGACTTTAAGAAGTATTGTTGCCCGGCAATTTAATTTTTTTACGCTTTTAAGAAATGTCTTATTTTTTAACAATTAAAATTTGTAAAACGAACTCGAAAGAAATCAAATGGCTCATAACAATTTTTTTGAACATGTTTTTATAGTTAAAAAAAATACATCATTTTTTAATAATAATAATAATAATAATTTCAAAATTTTACATCTAATTTGGTGGTAATAAGAAAAAAAGATTTCAAAAGAAAGATTTAAATAAACTTTGATAAAGAGAAAACTAGAACTTAAATGGTACCATACACAAATGACATGTAGTCATGTTAATAGTTATGGTGGTCTACCCACCTTTATCTGATATTAAATAAATTTGTGCTTGTATCCTTAAAACAAAAAAATAGTCTAGTAAATTATTAAAGAGCCAACCACTTTACTTTATTGAAATATTTTTAGTAGTTAGTTGTATCAATGACTGGTACATCTGTTTCAACGAATAATTTCTCCTGTAAAATTCTCAACAATTATAGAATATTATACTCTGTATATATATAAAAAAAAAATCTACAATAATCCACAACAGCACTCCCCCAATGAAACATCACTAATCACACAATGTGCATCCATCTTGTTAAAACCTCAATGACATGCATAGAGTGTGGGTGAGAGAGAGAGAGCATACAAAAGCAATTCGCATATTCTAAAAATTCCAGTATTCCAACTTTGTAGATATTCTTTGAAAAATAAATGTAAGAACACTTTTATCAGTACCAAAAATAATAAATAAATACGTACTGGTTGGGTGACAATAGGAAGACAGTGCAAAAGTTGTAAGTTGCAATCCCAACTCCTTAATGGAAATGTTCCAGACAAAGCAAATGGAGAAGCAATTTTGTTCCCGTCAACCATGACACCATCTGCAACAGCCATGCTCTGCTACCACATGATACTAATAACTCCATCGTAGACAAGACTGAGACATACTCTGCCTTCCAATGCACTGGATAAGCTAGGTCGACTCGAGGATCCCGTGCTTAAGAAGACATCCATGCTGCACCTGCTGGAACCAAATGACTCAGAGGCTTGTAGAAACTCCGCAAACTCCCTACCAAAAAAGTGCGGCCTTTAAGGCCCCTCCTCCGAAAAAGCAAGGAATGTATAAACTTCTTTTCCTATTGCAAGAAAATGAATACATCAAACCCTCAGAATACTAAAAATTCAATCGTAAGATGTATGAACTTTAACATATTAAGTGGTTCTCACATACTCCGTATACTATTGGGAATGTATGATTAATAAAGCTGTCTAACCAAAAAAAAAATTGACCTTGAGAGAGCCAAGTGGGATAAACGAAAACCCACACTAACTACTACTTATAGGAGGTAGCTTAGAGTCAACTTCTAATTGTTCCATTTGAGCCTGGACACAATTCAAACATAACAAGGTGAGACCTTGTGAATAGTTATTTTTCCTAGAAGCATAACAGTTAACATAAGCTCGTCTACAAGCAACAGCTGCAGCACAATGAAATATTTGTACAGTAACTAAAATACGTAACTCTTACCCTTGTGGATTTACACCAGAAAGTTCTAATATTGGAAGGCGTAGTAGTGAGGAGCCAGCTCAGGTAACCATAAATAATCAATTCTAGTACATTGCGGACATAACTATGATTGGTTCGGACTATTTCATCGAAAATTATGCACTCTGGCTTTGTTCGGAATAACATAGAAGAAGGGTGGATCTGCACCATCTGACCACTTGATAAGACCCTGTCATTTGGTAAACCAACTGTGAGACGTCTGAATAAACTATTAAGGGAGTTATTTTTTTATTTTTTATTTAAAAAAATAAAATAACTGAAGTGAGATACATAAATAAGAGGATTGCAAGTGAAGACGGATAAGGGGGACTGACAATTTAAAAATTATACGATATAATGACGTCAATCCATCTTAAAAGGCACAAACAGTCATAAAACCATGAATAATCTGGCTGCATAAATTAACTGTAAAGGAAATTTCCAGCACCTGTATGTACCATCAGGCTGTTTCAAAGCTGCATTGAGGAAAAAGGAAGTAGCAAGGCATCTGCGGAACTGAAGCATGTCATCTCCACAAGAAGTAATATGAAGACCCATTTGTTCAACATTTGCCCGAATCTGACTGCAAGAAAGCAGTAAAAAAAAATGAAGAATGTCTAGGGGAACTACAAAATATAATATCATTCAAGAAGGCATCGTAGAAGCCATTTTGAGAGATATCGAGCGTGAAACCAAAAATGAAACAATTTTTAGGAGCCTTCGCTTGAGTGGTATGACCACCTCCTCAAAGGGAAGGTTGAACGTTGAAGCCCCATTGGGACATGTGCATGCATAAAATTAACTACTCAACAAATAAACAAATTAAGGGCCTGATGTGCTCATGCTTATCATATACCTTTTTGCAAAAAGATGCCAAACAAGATAAATTACGCAAACACTGCTCAATTTAAACAAATAACAGATGGGTTTTGTACAATTCTTGCCTCAAAACCAATAATTAATAATATACCAACCTGTGAATGTCACGAGCATGCCTTAGGGACCGGCTATTTATGAAATTTTCCTCGCACCATTTTCTTAGACTTTTTTCAGTTTTATCTCTATTGTTTCCCATCTTACTCTTTTCCAAAAACTCATCAGAAGCTCGATATACCTGAATCAAAGTCAGATGGTCTCCCTCTGGACTTGAGAAGCATTTCATTGCAGTTCGTGCCTAGCCAACAGAACAAGAAATTCTGTTCAGAATATTCGATTAACGAATGAATGTAGTACTTACTTTCCTCTTCTCCTTTCACAAACACACAAAGGCATCAACACAACAAAGGAAGAAAATCATGTCAGGAAAATTAACAAGGTGAAGGAGCGACACAGGTACACATTGTGATTAATCACATACAACAGAGGGACGTAGATCGTGAAAATTTCCGCAGATAAGTTAGGTGGCACAACAACCTCGAAATTATATTATTACTGACTAATAATTGTCTCAACTTATAGTTTAATTCTAGATTTATCTCGTAGTTACCCATATGCATGATATTAAACTTTACATTGAATATATGAATATTTAACCATGTCCCAATGTCCTTAGGTTTAAAAATCTGATAACTACATTTAAACAAATATCTCTACACCTGAAACATGTATTTGATTCCATATAACATAGGCCCAGGGAGGGCTCGTCGCCTTTTTCACACCTTTCATCCACAAAAGAAGAACATGAAAGAGGGAAAAAAAGAAGTGAAGATAAGAGAGGAAGGGGACAAAAATCAATTTCCACCCCTCTTTAATACGAGAGAGAGAGAGAGAGAGAGAGACTGAAGCTTTTTCAAGTAATCAAAACCATTGCTCCATTTGAAATATCTATCTCGTTTTACCTCTCAGCCTATTTTTATACCTTAGAAAACTCTAAAAAGAGATATCTATCTAAAATGAACCCTGCCAAACATAATACATATATATAAAGAACCAGTGGCTAGAGAGTTATGGTTTCTACCATTCTCTCTGCTCGGTGTTTATTGGAGATGCCGGTAGGTCAGGTCATAGCTGGTGGGGAGGTTTTAGAGAAGGGAGGTTCATGGCTCCATCAGTCTTAAGTCAAATAATTCAGGGTTAGAGGAATAGAACTTTGAGGGGGTAGAAGCCTAGTTTCCCTTAGGTACAAAATATTGAATTCTCTTTCACAATAACATAAGACCGAAAATTTTCCCAAAACCTAAAAAAATTCTATAAATTCTTAATAAAACAAATTCTTTCTATGACCCCAATGACTAAAATATACCAAATGTCACACTATCTTCTTGTGAATCCTAATCCAAGTAGGTATCAAATTTTGTTGATAAGACAAAAAAGACGACATAAGACCCAAATTCTTTCCGCAAAACCTAAATACTTCTTAGAGTAAAAAAAAAACGGAACACTATTCTTTGTAACACTAAAACAAAAGCCAATGACTAAAACATATCAAGTGTAGCATTATCTTCTCGTGAATCCTACTCCAAGTAGGTATAAGAATTTGTTGATAAGATGAATCATCACAACCAATTTAGTATCATGTTGTGATTCATAAAATATACGTCAAAATTATTTTAATATTGTTTATCATGCAAAATAATCTCATTGACTAAAGTCAAAGAAACATAGCTTCCATATATAGTTTGTCATTTTGAATTGCTTAACCAAATAAACCAAATCAAGTCAACAAAACCATACTTTTGAACTGCTTAACCAAATAATCACTCAAGTCAACAAAACCTTACTCCAATACTTGGGGGGAGAGAGAAAGAGAGGGGAAGGAAAAAAACTTACTCCAATCCCATTCAGCTCAAACTACAACTATAATCAAACTACACGCTTCCATATCATTTTAATA